CGCTGGGAATGGGCCTAAATACCGCAGAGTAACATTCAGGCAGCGTGTGACGGTTTCATTGGCCGTTTGAAGGCCAATGTGACCGATTCGAACAAATTTATATTCTAAAATTGTGATGCTATTTCCATTTTTTTTTTGTTTTTATTCAATAAAATTAAAAAATGTTGTTAAAATTATGGCATTTGACATTGTTGTAGTTTTTTTATCTCACCCTGTATAGTCGACGAATAGGTGGTATGTGTGAAAATCTGGTCAATGTTGGATTTGATATGGTCCAATCATGGCACAATGAAAAGGTAGTCCATTTAGCGCAGCTGATGTCTTGATTAACTGTCAAAGTGGATAATTTCTACTTGAATTCGATGTGCAGTGTTGCCAACCATTTGAAATATTAAATGGAAAAATTTGACAGATAATCGAGACAAAAACAAAGTTTTTTGTTTCGATACATCACCTTATTATTACATCATGGGTCCAATAATGTACGCTGGATAGCACCTTGGCACAATGAATAGGTAGTCCATTTAGAGCAGCTGATGTCTCGATTAACTGTCAAAGTGGTTAATTTCTACTTGAATTCGATGTGCAGTGTTGCCAATCATGTGAAATATGATATGGAAAAAATTGACAGATGATTGACATACTGTGCTATAATGAGCATACGCTCCACAGAACTTCACCTCAATTGAAACTTTAATATTATCGATGTGTGGCCATTAAATAAATAAAATATCAAACTTTTCCCCCAACTAACAAAATATGTTACTCCACAAAAGTCAGATATTTGTTGTTAATGTCAATAAATTGTTATTATTTTTGGTGACCCAAAAAAACGCCTTAATTTGTCCTCTTAATTACACACGAACTCAATTAAGGAGTAGCGAAGGCCCCCAAAACAAATTGTGGTTATTCTTTTTTTTCTTTCTTTCAAAAACCATTCCAAAGTCATTTACCATTTACAAGTTCAGACATTTGTTTTAAACGTAATTTGTAATAATTTTGGTTTTTTTTTCTATTATCCACTACCAACAACAATTACGTGGATAGAAACGCTGACACGCAATCCCGCCCCAAAGGAAAACTCAAGGAAGAGGAAGGGTATAAAAATCCAACAAAAGTCCAATAAAAAATCAATAGAATGTCAATTTTGTGTGTTTCTTTTTTAAGTGAAATATTTTTTCAAATCTATAATAGGTGGTCACTTAACACACATACATACATATGTACATATATCCCACTAATTACATATTGGGGGTTATGAACACAGTGTGAGAGACATAACATAACATAACCCATACACATGCAAGGGATTTTTGGAGGGAAAATTTTTGTTCTGTTAAAATGGCAATGACAGCAAAATTTTGTTTGTTTTTTTTTGTTATTCTTCTGTCTTATCCGCAAATGCAATGTGACAGAATATGACGCTTGTCTATTGTGGGTATGGATGTACAGGGTGAGATAAAAAACCACTGCAACAAAGTCAAACGCCATAATTTTTACAAGTTTTTTTAATTTTATTGAATGAAAGCAAATAATTTCGGAAATTCCTTCAAATTTTAGAAGAAGTATAGATTTGTTCGAATTGGTCACCTTTGGCACGAATTATGGCTTTCGAACGGCCAATAAAATTGTCACACGCTGCCCGAATGTTTCTCTGCGGTATTTTGGCCCCTTCCCTGCGAAGCGCATGCTTGTGGTGATCGACACTTTGGTATTTTTTAGTGGCAACCTTGCTTTCCAAAATACTCCAGACACAATAGTCCAACGGATTGGTATCTGGAGATCTTGGTGGCCATTGTGCGCCTGAAATGAAGCGGAGAACCTCATTTTGTAATCAATTCTTGGGTGACGCATGCTGAGTCCTGTTGTAATTTCCAAGGTCTGCGGCCAAAATGTTTGCGTGGCCAAGGCTTTAATACACCCTTCAGAATATTTTCGCGGTAATGTTCGGCATTTATTCTGATGCCACGGTCGATTAATACGAGCGGAGAGCGACCACACGCTGCCCGAATGTTGCTCTACGCTATTTTGGCTCTTTCCCATCGAATCGCTTGCTTGAGGTGATCGACCAGCAACGTACACAGGATTTCATTTCGGGGGGGCCCGGTAGTACAAAATGAAAAAAATCGCTGTTGCAAACATAAATTTACTGTGAAAAAAATTCATTTCGGGGGGGGCCCGGGCCCTCAGGGCCGCCCCCCTGCGTACGTCCCTGTGATCGACACTTTGGTATTTTTTAGAGCCAACCTTGCTTTCCAAAATACTCCATACACAATAGTCCAACGGATTGGTATCCGGAGATTTTGGTGGCCATTGTGTGCTGGAAATTAAGCAAGGAACCTCATTTTGTAAACAATTCTTGGGTGGCGCATGCTGAGTCCTGTTGTAATTTCCAAGGTCTGCGGCAAAAATGTTTGCTTGGGCAAGGCTTTAATGCATCCGCCAGAATATTTTCGCGGTAATATTCGGCATTTATTCTGATGCCGCGGTGGATTAATACGAGCGGAGAGCGACCACACGCTGTTCTGCGATATCTTGGTCCATTCTCGGCGAAGCGCTTGCTTGAGGTATTCGACACTTTGGTATTTTTTAGTGCCAACCTTGCTTTCCAAAATACTCCAGCCACAATAGTCCAACGGATTGGTATCCAGAGATTTTGGTGGCCATTGTGTGCTGGAAATGAAGTGAGGAACCTCATTTGGTAAACAATTCTTGGCTGGCGCGTGCTGAGTCTTGTTGGAACGTCAAAGGTCTGCGGCCAAAATGTTTGCGTGCCCAAGGCATTAATACACCCTCCAGAATATTTTCACTATGCGCCAAATCCTGGAAAAGACCCATGAAAAACACATCGCATTCGACATACGACAGTTTCCTTCCCATCGCATATAAAGTGCGAGTCCAGCGACTGAAACCAATGTTCAATGACATTATTGGACCACACCAATGCAGCTGCAGACCTGGCAAATCCACCACTGACCAGATTTGCACACTACGCTGGAAATCCTGGAAAAGACCCACGAAAAACATATCGACACATACCACCTATTTTTCTACTATAAAGCCGCATTCGACAGTCCTATCCGTTCAGAGGTATTTAAAGCCACGTCTGCGTTCGGCATTCCTGCATAATTAATACGGCTATGCAGGATAATTTTAAGTGGCACAAGGTCAGCAGTTCAAATCGGAAAGGATCTATCGGAGCCCTTCAGTACCGAACGAGGATTCAGACAAGGTGGCAGTTTGTCGTGTAATCTTTTTAACATCCTGCTGGAAAAAGATCTCGTACACAAAAAGGAGGCAAGACGACGATATGTGTTAACTATAGAAGAATAAGTCTGCTTCCCATCGCATATAAAGTGCGAGTCCAGCGACTGAAACCAATGTTCAATGACCTTATTGGACCACACCAATGCAACTGCAGACCCGGCAAATCCACCACTGACCAGATTTTCACACTACGCTGGAAATCCTGGAAAAGACCCACGAAAAACATGTCGACACATACCACCTATTCGTCGACTATAAAACCGCATTCGACAGCCCTATCCGTTCAGAGGTCTTTAAAGCCATGTTTGTGTTCGGCATTCCTGCATAATTAATACGGTAATGCAGGATAATTTTAAGTAGCACAATGTCAGCAGTAAAAATCGGAAAGGATCTATCGGAGGCCTTCAGTACCGAACGAGGGTTCAGACTAGGTAACAGTTTGTCGTGTGATCTTTTTAACATCCTGCTGGTAAAGGTCCTACGAGAGGCAAATGTGACCAAATGACCAAACAACACATGTAATTCGCCTACTCCGATGACATCGATATAATGGGTCGAACATTGCGAGCGGTAACAGCCACCTTTGAACAAATTGAGAAGGGGTCTGCCAAAGTGAGTTTGGCAGTAAAAGGTGAGAAGATGAAGCTGATGGTATCAACGCGCAAGACGTCCAATAGACTCGGACCAACTGTGGAACTTGAGAAGTACATGACATCGATATAATGGGTCGAACATTGAGAGCGGTAACAACCACCTTTGAACAAATTGAGAAGGAGTCTGTCAAAGTGGGTTTGGCAGTAAATGGCGAGAAGATCAAGCTGATGGTATCAACGCGCAAGACGTCCAATAGACTCGGAACAACTGTGGAACTTGAGAACTCCAGCTTCGAGGTCGTTAAAGATTTTATATACCTTGGTACCGCCATAAATGAAACGAATGACTTCAGTTTTGAAATTCGGAGAAGAAGAGTGATGGCCAACAGATGTTTACTATGGTCTTAGTGAGCAATTTAGAAACAAGGCCACCTCCCGCCAGACCAAACTCACACATGACAAGACGCTGATACTACCGGTCCTGTTATACGAATTTGAAGCATGGGTATTTGCGCAAGCAGATGAGACAGCTTTTGGGGTGTTTGACAGAAGAATTCTCCGAAAGATCTATGGGCCGATCTGCGTCGACGATGAATATTGGCATCGAATGAACCAAGAGCTGTACCAGCTATTCTCGGACATTGACACAGTCAGTCGTATTGAGCTGCAGCTGCAGAATGAATGAGAATGCCCCAGCTCAAAAGGCATATAAAAGTGAGCCTACTTCATGCAGAATGGGAAGGCCACGAATTAGATGGAAAGTTCAAGTAAAAGCCAATATCTTGGAACGTGGTGTTTCAAATTGGACGAGTTACGCTCAAGACCGACGCGCTCGGAAATCTTCTTTTAAGGTCGGCTTATGGAACAACCTGTAAGAAGCCTGCTAAGTAAGTAACAATATTTTCATGATAATGTTCGGCATTTATTCTGATGCCAAGGTCGATTAATACTAGCGGATAGTGGCCATCGGCTGTTATGGCGGCCCATAGCATAACTATGGTCGGCGCTTGAGTTCTGTTGGCCAACCGAAGGTGCACATTTTCAGCTGACCTCTTTGGCAAGTAAACACGATCATTTTGTTTGTTTACAAACTGCTGGACAACGAATGTTTTCTCATCGCAGAAAACCGGCAAAATCGACAGTTCACCACTTTCAGCCAAGCGAAGCAACTCTTTAGCTCTTTTGAGTCTATTTTCTTTCTGTTGCAGTGTATGTTCTTGCACTTTTTGGAATTTCAATGACTTTACCTCGAGCTCATTTTTCAATATTTGCCGAATGGAATATTGCGATATGTTCAGCTCACGGGCCATTTTTCGGCCACTACGAAGCTTCGATTTCAATCAAGTCGCTTCTTTACTTTCCGAACTATTTCTGCTGATGTTGCTGTTTTCTTCCGTCCATTTCGTTGACATCGCGCTACGCTACCAGTATCATGGTAACGAGCGATGGTACGAGACACAAAAAATGTATTCACATTTAAATGCTGGAGTGCTATAACGATAGCCACTTGTGGGTTTCCAGTCAAATATAAAGAAATCACGCTTGAATTCCATCACGAACAACAACTTTTTTCTGGAAAATTCTCACCAAAATGCTTCTGTACGCTTGTAAACAATATAGCTGTCACTGGAAACAATTTTAACAGCTGTCAGACGAGTGGCTTATAAATGACAGCAGTCTGAAGTTGGTTGCAGTTTTTTCATCTCACCCTGTATGTATGTCGGATAAACACAAATAGTTGGAAAAATAATAATCAACTCACGTGTTTTTTATTTGCTTCATTAAAATGCCAAAAAGAGAGGGAGAGAGAAAGAGTGATACAAAGAGCCCACAAACAATTTAAGCTCTTAAAAGCTTTCTGATGGTGTAACGCTCTTTAAAAAATGTTGGGGTAGTTTGTAAACCATGGAGTGACAGAGAGAGAGAGAGAGAGAGCGGTGTTAAGGGAGAGTAAACATGTGATTTGTAGAGTATTTTTCACTCACACATGTTGTCTGTGGAGACTTAAATTCCGGTAGTATTTTTATGTTTTCTTTATTATTTTTTTCTTCTTAACAGGAAAACTCAAATGAGCATATCAAATCAAATGCCAGTTGAATGTAATAAGAGATTTTGTGTAAATGCACACACATACAAATGTATACTATCACATTTTTATTACAGTTACAATTTTTCTCTGTACAGGTATATTTGGCAGCCAGTTAACGCGTGTTTGCTATACGACAAACAAAAAAAAAGAAATCTAAAATGTCAACACTTTTAATTCTGAGGGTCGGTAAAAAGTGATGAAATTCAATGGCTTGGAAATGCCACAATTATTTGAGGAGTATCGAAATGTCATTTAATGTAAATATATTGAGGATATATACGTTAGAAACAGTATGTTTTGAATGAATAATTGAATAAGAAAATTTGTAAAACACCCAATTAATATTGGGCGCCACTTTGGCGGAAAATTAGAAAATCATATTGAAACAATGGCAAAATGGTTCTCACAGGACTTTTTGTATAAAAGGTGACAGTGTGTGGACAAATAAATCGCAATATAAAAGGGCGATCTTATGACTAGCAGGTGAACTACATATTCTCTATCTTGCTGCAGGCTACAAACTGACATTGGGCGCCACTTAGTGGTCAAATAGTAAAAAATAATAAAAATGTTGAAACCTACAGTTTTATGATCGTCATGTTCAGCGAACTTTATTCTACAGGGTGAGATGAAAAAACTGCAACCTAAAAATGGCTCGTTTGCTGAACATATCACAATATTCCATTCGGCAAATATTGAAAAATTAGCTC